TATTCAAACTTCACATAACGTTTTAATTTAAGTTATTCTTAACTTGTTGAACTTTCAAAAGAAGTTAAATTTAAGTTATTCAAACTGATATATCTAGTGTCCCCGAGGGACATGAGTGACATAATAGGGTAATGATAACATATTCTCTGACGAAATAATGGAAGGCGCGCCCCCGGGAACGCGCCTTCATGTGAATAGTGAAATAATAGGTACTGATATATCTAGTGTCCCCGAGGGACATGAGTGACATAATAGGGCAATGATAACATATTCTCTGACGAAATAATGGAAGGCGCGCCCCCGGGAACGCGCCTTCATATGAATAGTGAAATAATAGGTACTGATATATCTAGTGTCCCCGAGGGACATGAGTGACATAATAGGGCAATGATAACATATTCTCTGACGAAATAATGGAAGGCGCGCCCACGGGAACGCGCCTTCATGTGAATAGTGAAATAATAGGTACTGATATATCTAGTGTCCCCGAGGGACATGAATGACATAATAGGGCAATGATAACATATTCTCTGACGAAATAATGGAAGGCGCGCCCCCGGGAACGCGCCTTCATGTGAATAGTGAACCGATTATAGACACTATTATATGCAACGTATTATAAACTTTCAAAACAAACTTCAGTTCACAATCTTTCAAATTCTCAAATTCCCAAACTCTAAATTCTCAAATTCTCTGAAAATGAGTCGTCTTTCTGCTGTTGTTTTGTATGATGGAGAAATTAAGGAAGCTGAAGAGGGGGTTGTTTTTGAGTCAGATCATTATATCCCCTTAACCTTGAAGAGAAACATCACAATTGAGGAGTTAATCACAAAAATTTCGTTAAAGATTCGTGTAGCAGGCCAGAGAAGACTATCTTCACTTCAGTACAGATTTCCTACTGAACTTTTTCCGCTCACGTATACATCATTTCAGCTTTCAAACGATGATGATGTTTCTATGATGGTTGATGCTCATATGGGGAGTTCACAATCTCTTATTGAAATGTATGCCACTTTTATTGAGGTTCGTGCAACTCGTGGTCTCTCATATTCCTCTCACTTTGGCATTGCATATCAAACTGATCAAGTTGATAGCCCGACACAACTGATCTGTAATGATTTCACATCATTAATGGCGGATCCAATGCCATATACCATGCCATCAAGTTCAATAGGAAGGCATTCATCTGCAACTGCTTATGATCTCAACCCACGTGGCTTCACCAATAATCCATATGGCAACATCTCTTCTACTTCAAGGGGCAGACATTCATCTGCCAATGTTTTCGACTTACATATGGAAATGCCAACGAGACGACAGTCTATTCACATCCCACATGATACAATGGCCTCAAGTTCAAGGGAGGACACGCAAGCGGGAACTTATTTGACCTCAACATTGGATTATCGGAGGAACCCTCATCTCCACCAGAAGAACCTCTTCGGGAGCCAGGTGCAGATGGTGCTGAAACGGGATTATTCGTTGAACCTGACTCACCACAGTTTAACGTACATTCTGATGATGACGAGGATGACGTTCCGATAAATACAACACCAGCCGAACTTCCTGCACATATGTATGAGGCTGATTATGATGCAGTGTATGAGCCTGAATTTCCAGATCTTCCTGATGTTGGCAACTATGGACTTTAATCATCAGTCAATGACGGTAATTTACATATTGGAATGGAGTTCGCATCGAAGGAGGAAGCAATGATGGCAATAAAGAGTTACAATATTCGTAACTCAGTTCAGTCCCGAGTTGATCGATCTAACACGGAGAAATATGTCTGCTACTGCGTCCAACGTCACAACGGATGTCAATGGATGGTCCGTGTATCAAAGAGGAAGAGGAAGAACAACTTATGGGAACTAACCAGATACAACGGTCCTCATACATGTTGTGCAACAGGTATAAACCAGGATCATCCCAACTTGGACTCCAACATTATTTGTCAAGCAATCATGCCCATTGTGAAGCAAAGCTCTCATATAGCTGTTGCAGTGTTGATTTCTGCTATACAGTCACAATATGGGTACACTGTCTCATATAAAAAAGCGTGGTTGGCAAAACAGAATGCCATTTGCAAACTTCATGGCGAATGGGATTCCTCTTACAACGAGCTGCCCAGTTGGTTTCATGTTGTGCAAAGACTTAATCCCGGGACAATTGTTGAGTTCGAAACTCAACATCATTACGTGAATGATCGAATGGTTCGCGATCGCTGCCAATTTTACCGAGTCTTTTGGACTTACCCTCAGTGTATTAATGCAGTCAAGTACTGTAAACCAATTGTCCAAATTGATGGTACTTTCTTGTATGGGAAATACAAGCAAGTTTTATTATTGGCTGTGGTCCAAGATGGAAACCGCAATATTCTTCCTGTTGCGTTTGCCCTCATTCAAGGAGAAGACACTGAGTCTTGGGCTTTTTTCCTTAAAAATTTACGTTTACATGTTGTCACCAGGGAACGACTATGCATTATTTCAGACCGAGGAGCCGGGATAAAAGCAGCAATGGACTCTTTGGGTACAATGTATAGACCTCCACATGTTCAACATCGTTATTGTGTCCGTCATATTGCTGCAAACTATTACGGAAAATACAAGAAGAACGATGAACGTCAGTTAGTCGTGCGGATGTGTATGTTACTTTTTCCCAATTTTTCTATCAATTTCTTATTACTTATTTATACTTCATATTAACTATTACATATTCCTAATGGCTTAGGTTACGAACTCTTACCTCAAAGGTTTGAGTCGATGCTACAAGAGCTATTTGGCAAAAATAAGAAGGGGTGCGAGTACATTATGGACATCATCAAAGAAATGTGGACAAATGCATATGACGGGGGGTATCACTATGGTCATATGACAACAAACTTGGCTGAAGCAATAAATTCAACCTTAAAGGGGGCGCGTCATTTACCAGTCACGGCGTTGGTCAAAACGACTTATTTTCGTTTGGGTCAACTCTTTGCAAAACTCGGTGGACAAGCTCTTACTTGGATGCAAAACGGACATATTTACCACCCAAGACTAGTAGCCGATTTACAGAAAAAAGTGGCTGCATCAAATGGGATGTTAGTTACAAATTTTTCTCGCACCCGTGAATTGTTTCGTGTAACCGAAATGCCACGTCTGCTGCAAGGGATTGAAGCTAACTCTTTCAGAGTTAATCTGCAAGAGAGGTGGTGCGATTGTGGTTTCTTTCAAGCACTCAAATATCCATGCTCTCATGTCATTGCTGCTTGCTCACATTCGCATTTGGACTACAAAAATTATGTTGATCCCGTATACCATCTTTCACAAGTATTCAAGGTATATGAATTTGAGTTTCCGCCCATAGGAAACGAAAGAGACCCAAATGAGATTCAAACTTGGCTTACAATTGTACCAGATCCATTGCTATTGAGGGACTCAGGTCGTCCAAAATCTACTAGAATACATTGTGATATGGATATTCGGGAGAAGTCAACAGAACAAAAACGATGTGGGCATTGTAGAAACATCGGGCACAATAGAAAAAAATGTCCAGCTCTGTTATCATCATATAACCGTTAACTCTTATGTAATTAATATTGTATTTAAATGAATGTTTTTATTTCTAATAATTTAATGTTATTGCATTTATATAATTTGTCAATGTATGTACACCTAAATAATTTTTTTTAACTTTTAAATACATAAATATATTTAATATATTTATTTAATATAATAATTAATATTATTAGTTATAATTTTTTTTTTAAAATATAATAATAATTTCACCTTCTAAGTAGAGAAAAATATTAAATTAAACAAATTAAAAGTTATTAAAAAATTTATGTATACGATGACACATTTCATGTTCTGATTGGATGATTAAATTTATTAAATTAAATTTTCAATAAGACTAATTTTATAAAATATGTAAGTCTTGAAGATTAAATATGTAATTATACTAATTTATTAACTTATGCATCAATATTTTCGTTAAATATTGATATGAGATGACTAGATTGATAACATTTAAATAATTAACTGATAAAATTAATAGATCGATAATCAAAATCAAAAATACTCGAAACTTGATAATTCTTACATTATAATCGAAACATTTTACATAATATATTATTAATTTATAATAATAATAAAAATAAACTATTTATTATAAAACAAAATACGTGTCTGCTGAGTTGACAAAGGCGCGTCCCCGGGGACGCGCCTTTCACACGTGGCATCCAACTCAGCGAAAAACACGGGTAAAGCGCGCCCCCGGGGACGCGCCTTTGCCAACTCAACAGAAAGGGTGCTAGTTCTGGAAATATTGGTCAAACGGTGTCAGAAAAGTAAAATTAAAAGCAAACGGTGTCGGTTAAAACCCCCTAAAGGTGCACTACTTTTTCCTTTTAGGCATAGTGTAAAAAAAATGTATATATTTCTTTCTTTCAGAGTAATTTTGTCTTCAATATTTTATTTTAGGGTATTTTTACGATAAAATAAAAAGTTGTGGGCTAATATTTTTTTTTATGATTACAAGATAGTATCTATTTAAAAGACTCAACCATTTAACAATGAAAACAAACACCTTTGGAGACGACATACTTAAACCTAGGAATATAAGAAACATTATACTTAAACCTAGGAATATAAGAAACATTAGGGGTATCATTAACATTATTCCTCGTTTTTAATGGTGCAAAAGCTTTAATTTAAACACGATAGGAATATATGAAAACATAAACTCTATGTACAAAAATGAAAACGTATGGATTATAGTCTGTACAGTGGACCGGAAAACTCAAAAGACAACCAAGTTCCAGTATAAAAGTGATGGGCACATGGGATGCTTTCCCCACCAGGCCACCAAAGAATTAGATACCATCTATCTCATCAAACCTTTGTAAAATTCCATTAATGGAAATGTACTGTCAAGGGATAAAGCTTGTTTTATAATGAAAGAGTGAAGAAATGGCAAGTTGAGCAAAGTCCAGTGGAAGTTATGGCAAACACATTGAGTTCTCTTGTCTGTATCTTCTTTATTTCTTCAGGAAGTCCTGTTGGAGTAAAAACAACAACCTTTTACAACCATTTCTGTATTGTCTGTCGTGATTTCTAGATAGAAATGAATTAGTTTGCTGGCCTACAATCGAATAGTACATAGAAAATCGAATTGAGATTAGTCATAGGTGGACATATCCGAATGAAACACAAGGCCGATAATCATCGTCTATTTTTCCTTCGTTTCCTTCGGCAATGGAAGCATTCTGAACATGGGGGTTTCATTTTACTCGAGGAGTAACTGGTTTGGAACTTGCTGGGTGATATTTTCAGGTCTTCCACGAGTATCTGATGAAGTTTCTCATTCTCCTGCATAAGTTCTTCAATGATTTGTTGATGCTTCAATACCTGAATGAAAGTAGAAATTTCAGTACAAACTAAAACAATTCCAAACAACATGAAGAATACAAACATGGGACTATACTTTACTATCAATTTTTATTGAGTCTTTATGAATCAAATGTATGTCGAAACCTAGCAACATCTATGTGTATAAATCAGCTCGAGAGATACAGTTACTGTTAAAGTCCAACATTCACAAAACGTCACATCTGATTATGGTTGATTTATGCCAATAATCTAAACAGAGGACAAAAACCAAATAAGGAGCATTACCAGTTGAAGCATGTTGTTTTCATTTTGCAACCTCCAGGCCTACAAAACAACCAAAACCGAGTTAAGTATTGCTGCTGCCTACTGCAATCACTGATAAACAAAACCGAAAACAAATGCGACAGCTTGTAGCATGTTAAAGAATGTTCTTTTGGAGGCTTTCCATTCCCAGCTACTCTTTCAATTGCTGAAGTGAAAATTAAACCCATAGCCTCCATAAGATGTTATAGAAATGACATTTCACATGCACAAGGATAAAGGTAGCCTAGCATACCAGTTCATTTAGCCCGGTTCCATCTTCCTTCAAAACCGGATTTTGCAAAAAACTATTAAGAACCTTTTCTGTTCGAGTTCCAAAAGATGTCTCAGCAGGAGATTTTGGTGATTCATTTTCATAAGCTGAACCTCTGCTCATAATTCCATGTCCGTGCAAGCCTTGAGATGTTGGATCTGCTAGCTTTGATACTATGTGCTTCATGTTTCCGAATGGATTTTGGGAGGGTTCATTTGTTGTGGTCAAAGCCCTTTGAAAGGATGCCGGAAAAGCACCTTCACTGAAGGGTGAATTGGAAGCCATTCCGAACTTCATCATCAAATTCGCCATTGTTTCCTAAAAAGTTCAGATTAAAAGTTTAAATACACTAAAGCAAAAACACAATAGAAGAAACAAATGCTATATAAGAAAATTATACATACCGTAATACTACATTGAATTTGATGCATCACCCCAGGCTTCACAGCAAGTCCTGTAATGCAAACACCTTTTGCTATCAAAAACAGCATTTCTAGTTCATGCGATTGACAGTGACTACCGGATTATTTGTAGCATGGGGACAATGTATCATTTCCGATTTAGGTATGAAGATAGAAATAATAAGAATTCAAGAGAAAAAATATGTAATTCCCCTCATTTTGAAATAGTAGGGTGCACAACTGCACATTCAATCAATGCCATAATACAAAAAATTGATATCACAATAAGTACTCGGTTATTTCTTTTAAACATAATTGCATACCAACACCAAAACCATGGCCAAGACCAACTCCACATCCAACCCCAGCTTGAATGCTCTTAGCTCCCAATTTCCATAACTAAAAAAACACGAGAAAATCTACATAAGCAGATCGTGAAATATCAAGCAAACAAAATCAATGTCAATCACAATCATAAAGACATGTATATATAACTTACAGCACTGTTTACATGTCTGCTAACACCCGAAAACGCATCGGTTGCTCCTCTAGTTGCAGTCATAACTTGGCCCACCATCGGTATCGCACCTGATATTATAGCATGGTTACCACAATATTTGTGAAAGAATACCCATTTCATTCTTGATCCTACAATTGGAATTTGGACTAACAAATGGTAAAGCTAAACCACAAACAGCCATACATAAAGCTAGTATTCATTCGACTTACACGCATTTTCCCATCACAAAACATAGCCATTATCTATTACCCAATATTCTTTAAGAAAACAAAATAAAAGAAAGAGATATCAAAACAGATACATACAAGTTTCCTTGGGAAGCAAATTGGAAAAATTATCATCATTCTTGGGACAAAACCAAGCACCCCATTTCATCTTTACAGCTCAAAGATTAGATTTTTGCATTCAGAAGAAATGTACTAAAAAAATCAATGAATCATGCATATGCAAGGAGAATGTTAATGGGGAGTACCTAGATTTAAAGGGCGACCCACGCCAATACCAATACCACAGCCAATGCCAAAGCCAGTGAATACTTGACCCACTTTCAAAGCAAATGGATTCTGTAATCTGATTCCTTGAAATCCTTTTGTTTGATTGAGTACTGCCACCGTTTTATTCTCACTACTCTCCATTGTTCAAGTCTCTCTTTTCTTTTTACAGATTCGCAAAGGGAAAACCCTTTCATATATGGGTATCTTTTTCATGTTCTTTTCCCTTCGGAGAAGTTAAGAATTTCAGTGTCGTGTACAGATAAAGAGTTTCAGCTTCATCCTGCTCATTTTGAAAGGGCTAGGAATCTTGGGCAGGGACTATTTGTTTACTTACTAGCAAGTTCACCCTAAAATATACAATATGGGTCATTGGCCTAAAGCAATGAATCAAGCTCAGGCCTAATACAAACAAGACCCAAAGTTCTCGTCACGACGTCACCTATCAATTAGACATGTTACATTGACTTTGGATTATTTTAGATTTCTTTCATTCTAATTTGAGATTTATATTTAGATTTTTTATCTGGATATTTTATAGGTTAAATTACTAAAATAATATCTAAACAATATTTAATTATCAAAATAACATTCAAATAACATAATTTATTCCCACCTTAAACCAATTTTAGGAATTTTATAATTTTAATATATAATTTACATATTAAATAGTTAGGTTAAACACTTAAACTATAGTTTGGATGCATTTTGGATGTCTAACATTCAAATTGAACCATTATATTATTTTCAGATACAAGAGCTTAATATAATATGCTCGTGTGTGTTTTTTCTCCTTGTACGGTTATTTCTACTTTTCAATGTTGATACCTAACATTTATTTGCCAATAATGATTAAACACATAAAAAATATGTAATACCCTAGTCCAGTTAAACCCGAAGATTCATAAATTACAATGTCATACAGGATAACCGAAATAGTGACCCAAAATTTTTATTTTAAAACTACTTGTAAATCTCTTAAATTTAGGCATCTATAATGTAATATAAAAATATAATAATAAACTGGGTTTACAATTAATGGGGAGCTCCCAATATACATCATAAAAAAATTATAAGTTCCAAAAAGAGTTACGACTGAAAACATAATACGGGTCCATAACAGTAATGCCCTCTAAAGATGACTCAAGACGTACTCTGAAAGGTCTCTGGAAATCTACTCTATTGCATTGGAATATCTAGTGACGATAGTTCCCATGACCTACTCTCTAAGAACATGCACATGGAAACACATTCTGAACGCTGAGCTTACGAGTTCGGTGCCTCACTAAAAACTATATTATACTATATGCATTCACTAAATGAAATGACAAGTGGCACAGGTCTGAGTATACAACTACTGGACTGCTAATTTGTGGCTGACCTCATGGTACGACTGAGGGATTCTTCATCTCGGAGCTCATGCACCCCTCTAGCACTGTCGAAGCACCATCGAGTACTCTTGGGTGAGATCCGAAATTTTGCATTGGAGCGTACACCCACTGACTTACTCCATCGAGTCTTGGGGCATCTGGCGCCCAGTCGGCTACTGTAGTGTCGTGGCACTGATTTGGATCCACTGACTGTTGTATTTTTGCTAAAAGGAACTCGGGTGTCCTGATTGTTTCTCAAGTGTCAAACAAGGCTAGTTTTATGTAAACCTTGCTATTTTTATTTATACTATCTAATATTAATTATTGTTCTTACTTGAAGTCTTATTTGAAGATATACTGAAGTGTTTGGGTACTTTGAGTCTAATTCCCTTAAAAACTAACTTTTTTTCCAACAGACTAAAATTATCGATACTAGCCAAAGAGTATCAATACTCCTGCAAAAGTTTTGATACTTTCTACAAGTATCGATACTTATTCTGAACCGTCTAGTTTTGATATTTTCTGGGAGTTACGAAACTATGACCCAAAGTATCGATACTTTTGCCCAGAAACTCACGAGTTCACCCGAGAATAACAAATTTCGATACTATCCCTCTAGTATTGAAACTCAACCAATAGAGATCATAAAATAGGTGCAAAAACTTCTACTCTACTATCCCAAAAACCTTACTGAGGTCCCCAAACATTATTAATGTTTTATGAAGATACAAAGAAATATAAATAGGATTTTAAACATGTTTATAACTCTAAAACATAAAATCTATCAGGAATGCTTCAAGCTTATACAACCTACTACATTTCATCTAAATGACTTACATATAGTATAGTTGAGTCAAGAGTGAGTTATTTTCGATGCTATACTGCTGGAAACATCAAAGACTCGTCTCAAAGTAAACTTTTCATTCCTCTTAGCTTAGGAGCCTTCTTCAACCTCTTGCACTAAACAAAACCAAATACAAGGGTTACTAACTGTTTCTAGGGATTAAGTAGGGTTTTAAAACACTTCCTAAGAGTTACTTTATATAGACCACGAAGACGTAGGTCTACAAGCCCTCTGCAGAGCGGGAAGAATGTCAATGTACAATTTCTGGAGATGGACTCTCCCAAAATGGTCAGAGAAAGCAGCAGGCAGAATGGATTTTTGGGGAATGGTGATGGTAATTTTTCTAGTAACCTTTTCATTTTTATTTTTGTCTGTCTTTATGTTTAATGCTAGTCTTTTATCGATAGTGTGGGAACTGCGAATGCTTTACATCTTGAAATCACCAATTTAATTTGGTAACTTATGAGTAAACAATACTAGAAAAATGAGTCCAGATTTACCTTTCTTGAACATGACTTTTGAACTCTCTGAAGGTGAGGGGGCTTCCAAGTCAATTCCTATTGAGAAAGTTGTGCAAAGTGGATGGCATGGTCCGGAAAATTATGCCTCTGATTATGCTAGTACAACTTAGTGTCCTGCCCAGGTTGCAACTAGTTCTGATACAGCAGCTCCTCCTGCGAAAACAAGGAAAATAGTGGCAAAACGATCTGATTCTAGGAAGTATGTTTTCCAAGGCAATTTTTACATCGGTCAATTCCTTTTTGCAGAAAGCTTTCCTTTTATATACTCTCTCTCTCTCTCTCTCTCTCGTGTTTATCCCATTGCTCAATGTGCTTTCTGCACTTCTTATTTTGTTGCCACCTCCTTAGGTTTTGTTTGCTGATAGAAAGTGTCGCCTTCTCAAATTGCCAAAGGTTAGGCATAATAGTATTTTATTTTTTAACATTTCAAAATGTTGTTCTCTTACAGCCGCATGCTCCTGCTGAAACGCCAATTCTTTCACTCACACCGAGTTCAGGTGATCAGTTTTAGCTATCTGCTTAGGTTAATTATAATATTGGACTTTTCATTAATATCCTTGTCATGTTATGCCATGACATCTCTGTTTTCATTTTATAATATTATTTCTCTGTATGCACTGAAAAGTTTTAATTGTTTACCTGAAGCCAATGGCAATGGACCAAGTAATGTCTGATAGAGACAGTGAAGACGAAGTTGATGATTTCATTGCTGATCTTGAAGATCGCAGTGTACAGTTTACAATTTTGCTCCAAAATATTTCCTTTGTTTTTTCCGACCTTCCCATTATGACAAAACGCTTGCCTAGGTTTTAGATTTTGTGCAACTCAAGAATTCTAGCATTTTTTAGTGCATTAGAGCTTGGAAGGGTTTATTTTCCTGATTCTCTTCGTGTGAAACAGAGTGCAAAAAGGAGCTTCCTTGATTCTTGTTTAATGTCATTTTTAAGTTCAGGCATTCGAATTATAACAAGGAAGTAACATGAAGTTAGTGTGCATGCAGTAGAATTGAGAGGCAAAACTGCTCTAACTATTAATAATTTCCTCCATGTGGCATTTGAAAATGGTTGGCAAAACTGGATCAGCGTTCAATGATATGAAATTCTTAACTCGGTAATTGAACTGACTAGAAGAAATGTACTTTAGCATTTGAACTAACTAGAAGAACTGTATTTTAGCATTTTGAGAGTACAAGTACGTAATTAAAAAGAAAAGAAAGCGTATTTAAATCATTCAACTTGATTGCAGCCAGAAGAACTTTTGAACAAGAATTTTACTATTTTGGGTTTATAAAATCTTCAGTTATCAGAGGAAAGTAGAGTCATTACATAAATAGTGATCTGTTGGTTTAGGCAATCAATTCTTTTCATTTGTCTTAACTAGAAATAGTTTGCTCAAACTTTTGCTGTATTTTACGAACATTAATTTGTTCTTTGTCCTTGCACTCGTTGCATCTCTAACCAAATTGAGAAGTGAGAGATAACAGTAAAAACAATTTGTAACAGATGCTTGATGATTTTGTGGATGTTAGCAAAGAGAAGCAGCTTATGCATCTTTGGAACTCATTTGTTAGAAAGCAAAGGTAGTCTTTGCTCAACCCTTGAAGCTTTCTTTCCTTCTCTTGTCAACTGAATTCATAATTGTCATTTACTTTTCTTTTCCCTTAACCATTCTAATTGTTGTATATCAAGAAATTATAAGAAAATTCTAATACTTGAGCTGGCACCACATAGAACTGATTTCTTGTGGTCTTCTTTCTGATTAAAATCATATCCTGATTCATTCGACAGGGTTCTGGCTGATTGTCACGTTTCCAGGGCATGTGAGGCTTTCTCTAAGTACTATGGGCCGGATTTGGTCCAATCACCTTCTCTGTTTTGGTAATGTACTTGAAGAATTTTAACTCTTTTCGTTTTTTGACAGCTGAAGTTGTGTTTCACCAACAATTAAGAATAACCATTACATTGAGTCATGGAATTGGAACTGACCAATTTAGAGGCAGATAGAGATAGTAAAAAACAACTGTAAACAGCCGATGCCAGCTCAAAGTTTAGCTATTGAAGTGTATTGTTAATTAACAATAGACAAAAGATTGGCTTATGAATGGAAATCCATTCTGAACCTTTTTGAAGCAACATTTCATCAACATTTTCTTTGGATACTGCAAGTGATATACTCGTACTCGTTTTTTAAAACTTTGTTTGAAATGTATTTTCTTATTAATGGTAATTACAGATTGTTGTTATAATTGATAAATTATTTGAAATGTTATGTATTTTCATGATAAAACTTTGGAATCATGGTCTTCTTGATGTCTGCACAATGAACAACTGTAACTTGATACTTCAAACATGCCAAAATGAGAGATCGGATGCTACGAAGAGTTGAAATATCATGAAACATCAAATAGAGACCAGTTTTCTCCATGATTTGATCACAATATTCTTGCTAGAAATTGGTTCTTAAATAATTCATTCTCCAGGTAACTAAATGCTTCCTTCTCATTGTTCAACACTAGCATCAGGTTCAATTTTCTAAG